GAACATGACGAAGATGAGGATGAGGAAGAAGAAGAAATTGAGATGGTTGATGCAGATGAAGGAGGTGAGTGTGAGGAAGAGGCCGAAAAGGGTGAGGACGATGAAGAAGAGGCCAACGAAACAGTGCGAAATAGAGGCCAGGAGGAGTATGATGGCCAGGGAGAGGAGGAGGATTATGAAGACGCTGAAGAAGAGGAGGAAGAGCATGGAGAAGAAGATGAAGATGAAGACGATGATGAGGATGACGAAGATGATGAGGATGATGAAGACGAAGACTCACCTTCCTCCAAACCTGTTAGACCCTCTTTTATTGATTGCCCAGAGGATCAGGAATTCTGCGAAGCACTTGATAAAATCTTAGCCGAAACCTTGATGGTAGCATCGGCAGGCTCCTCTATCCGTGACACAAGTAGCCCTGGAATACTAGCTAGTGCTAGCAGTGGCGGTAGTGGGGGTGGAGGTGGTTGTGTTGGTTCGACTAATAGCAGTGGTCCTGTCTCAGCTGGCTTGAGTGGATCCGGTGGATCTGGTACATCCGCTGTAGTCGCATCAGGTACAGTAGCAGGCATGAGCAATGTGGCAGGATCGACTGGCCTCTTGGGGCCTTCTGGGCTGGCCGTACTACCTAGTCCAATGGCAGTTAGGATTGCAGCCTCGAGGTCTCGATCTAACCAGGTCGCCTTGTCTACTACAGCGGCGACAGCGGCTGCTGCCTCCGTTTCCACAATCACTATATCAGATGACGCATTGTGCGCGGATGGGATGGACGGATCTTCGAACTTGCTCCAGGAGACGTATGATAGCAAGCAAGGCAAAGAACCTTCTGAGGTGTGTTTCTACTTAGTATTATTCTTTGATGCAAAGCTATGTGAAATTATATAGTATCTTAAAATCTACTCATTTCATTGTGGCTAATTCAATTAACAGTCCTAAATCCTATATGACCTAGTGGATAAAGCTCTTTCATAGGATATACTTTTAGTCCTGAAACACCTGCGGTATGCAATTAGTGTATTTTTCAATTAAGCCTCATATCTGTACTCTAAATGTCTGAATAATTATATAGCACTCTAACAATATAGTTCCCTTAAGCATCAAACTGCACTAGACTGTTGTTATATTCAACTTAACCTCAATTAGTAAGGCTTTTAATGCTATTTCAATTTAAGGAGCATTCACATTTGCACTTCTCTCGTCAGAGGCTCTCATTAAAGATCCTCTATAAATGGAATTTATGACGTGCAGATCTAGAAGTAGACATATTGCTTTCCACAACTCAAACACTATTACCATTTGATCGGATGGCAGGTTTTGACTTAAAAAAACTACCAGTAAATCAGATATATGAGTTGTATTCACCCTATTTCGCTTAAGTCTTTCCCACAATGATAAAAGTTGAGCTGACGTCTCCATTAAGTTTCAAATTGCCTTGCTTTCCTAAAAGTTGTTCTCATCCAGGGTGGACTCTAATCAAATACGAAAAATAAATAACGTAGTCT